TTCTTCTCAAATCTGACCATGTTGTTTTTGTTTCTTCCTTTTTTTTGTGCAGGTTTTCTGTTTCTTTCTTTTTTTTGTTTTGCAGAGGAGAGATAATTGTGGGAAGGGATGAGAGGTTAGTGGAGAGAGATGGGGAAAGGTTTATTTTTTATTTTTTTATTTTTTTTATTTTTTTAATTAATCAATTAATTTTTTTGTTATTATAATTTTAACTATTTTTATAATTATTTTTATTAGTTTATTCCTTTATTTATTTTTGGGCTATTACAATAAACATGTCATATCGTAAACACTTCGTGGTCATATCATTCCCTAACTTATCATAGTCTTAACGTTCTTATACTTATCACAGTCATATCATTACGTGAACGCACCTTAGTTATATCATCATAGGAACGTATCCTAATGCTATCGTTCTATCAATCTATCACAAACCTATCCCTTTCTACCCATATCCTAATCATATTATTTCATCAATCTCTTCTATCCATAGCACTCCAGTATGTAACCTAACCTTAACGTTTCATGAACATATCTTACTCCTATCGTTACATTTCATTTAGTGCATCCTTCTCGTTTCTTATCTCAAACATATCTTTGAACACATCGTACCATAATTATTATCATACAATTCACATATTATAACATAATATAAGCATACTGATTCACAGATAATTCACACATATCAGCATATATGACATGTGCAGAACCACAAGCACGTGTCAACATCAAATATAACCATGCCGATAGTAAGACCACTTATCTAGTTAGCTTAAGTTGTTGTCACGAATATATCCTTAATGAAAGTTTGATTCTATCATTTGAAATCTAAGTCAACCTATGTGAGCCATGACATCAGTTTCAAATTTGAAATCTATAAAATTATTTCTCTAATCTACATTAGTCCATTATTAAAAGTCTTGAAATGTTATATATCTATTACTATATTTTTATTAAAATCTTATTTTTCATAGTCACTGTGATATAAAAAAGTAATAGAGTTATTTCAAGTTATTATGTGCTTTACTGTTCTCTGTATTTACTTTTCTCTTCCTATTTAGTTTGTGGTTTTTAATTCCTGAATCTTCCTTTTTTTTATAGGTATTTACTATGTTGCCTTCTAATTTTGTTATAATGTATTCCAAATTTCTAGTAGATCCTTGTTTCCAAATCTTTTTTTATCTCAATGTTTACTGGTCACAAATTTGTTTGGCCATTCTATTTTTAAGATATTCATTTGGCTACTTATATAAATTTAATCTAATATTAATAATTTAATGTGATTTACTAGTATAAATGATTGACATTTAGTTTGACTCAAAGCTAAACTATTGTAATAATTTAATGAAGATCTAACTATAATTAGCTGTGATTTCTAAAAAAAAGATAAAAGAAAATAAGGATTTAATATATAACTTATTGATCATATCTATCTTCACACAAATCTCCGATAAGAGTAAAAGTTATTCTCATTTTTTTTCTCAAGTAAATCTAACAATTGTTTTTCTGTTTCTTCGTGCAGTAACGGTTACTTGCCTAAAGATGGGTTGAGTAGAGATAATTGTGGGAAGAGGAGAGGTGGTGAATGGGGGAGAAGTAGAGAAAGGTTGTTTTTTTTTTGTTTATTTATTATTATTTAACTATTATTTTTTATATATTTTTTTTTATTTCTCTATTTCTTTCATTATTTATGATTTTATTTATTTATTAATATTTTTTTGGGCTATTATAGCTTATGTATTTGATTTATTGTTATTTTCATTTATTACTCTTTCCCTTCTTTGTTATTTATTTTATTATAAATAGATAACTTTCACAATTTTAGGTTGGGTGGGTGCAAACATTCTCACCACACATCATCCATGATGAGCAAGTACTTTTTCTGCTTAAGAAGTTCACTTTGCAACAAATCCATTTGATGAATCTCAGGTTTCTTTCTTGTTGCAAACTCCATAATCTTTTCAACAATAACCTTTACATCAAACTCTTCAGAAATACACACCCATAGTTTCAACTCAAAACGTTTCGTGGTGCGTTCATCATTGTAGATTGATTGAGCAAGTGTCGTCTTACCTAAATCCTCCCGTTCTAACTATGGCAATCACTACAATATTCTCCTAGGTAATAGGATCTGTATTTAGGAGAAGATCTATAATTGATTTGGTGACGTCTACCCTTCCCCACCATTTCATCACCACATATAAAAGAAGTCTCTCCACTCATCCTCCATTCATCATGTGAGTATTTAACATAGGCTCAGATAAATGGAATTGATTTTTATAAGCATTAATATCTTTCAGTTTTTCTCTAATGTCTTTAATTCTGTGATTCATTTTAAATCGAAATGCAATCTGATGAGGTGTAACGCCCCTAATTTTCTTTAACCTAATTAGTGACGTCACCCATGCATACATAACTCATTAAGCGGAAGCTCATCATAAATAACGTTGGAAGAGTGTTTCATAAAGATTCCTAAATCCAAAACGAAACCTAAACTCTGAAGAAAAAAAAAACCTTCAATAACTTAATTCCAAATAAATTCAAATAAAACAATACTTAATGTTATAACTTAAAATAGTCCAATAAGAGTAAACTCCAAAAAATATCCCATCTCCAACTTCCATGGTGTCCTCATCTCGGCCGTTAACCATACATTGGCGCCTTGCCTTTACCTAAAAAATGTAGGTAGCACGTGGCTTGAGTATTTTATGAAATACTCAATAAGTCACCCCACTGTTGGAGTTAGGAATGCAAACATATGCAACATATGAGCGGGACCTAACTTTTCATAAACTTTTCATAGCCTTGGGCGCTTTCCTATTCTGGGTAGGGTTGGGTGTGTGGTACTCCTTCACACATGGCCCATGTACGTGTACATGGACCCACCAGGCGGGCTCGTAAACATACCCCCTGGGCCTGACTTGGTCGGTCACAACGTGTTACACGTAGCCGAACACCACATAATAGAAAAGGACCCGCATGATATCATGGCGAACATAAATATCGTATTTCATTCTTTCATAACATAAAGGGGAAGAATCCGGATGCACGTGACATACATATATGCATAAGGTCCCTTAACATATCTAACATGACATTACATAAGCAGTGCTAACATCGCATATACGTTCTTATATTACATGGCATCTCACATGACATATTACATAACATGAAAGTGCATTCCAGTTGCATAAATATCTTATGACATGACTCGAGAATACTACGTGTATACATGACATCGATCAACCTTTTCATGGCATATACTACTAACATATCATTATAACTTCACATAACATAAATAGTCAACAGTCAACATAATTCATACATCACATAGTCATATCACATAAATATGGTGCATGCAGGGGCCACAGGGCATGCACCATCATACAACATGTAGTAAGCTAACTTCAACAGTAAGGTCACTTACCTCGATGGTTTTGGTTGAAGTCACTCACAACGAGCTACTCCCAACGGTTAAATACGTTCTATGATAACCACATGAAAACTTAGAACCTTTCATAACATACCTAGCTAAACCTCATGCTATTTATCAAGATAAACCCCCGACCTAATCTGTCTTTAACGTTTAGGAACCATACTGACCTCGGATGGTAAAACTAAGGGCAAAAAACAGCTTCGGAAGGGTCGAAAACCTTGGAATCGATATATTATAGTGATACTGAGTCACCAAGCCGAGCTGCCAAGCCGACCAACTAAGCCGCCAAGTCGAGCCGCGGGTCTTAACCCAATTAGACAAAAATGAAAAATCTGAATAGTTATTCCACGAACCTCTTTGGCCCATCTTTTACCAATCAAGTTATCCACAGTGTAGAAAGCCTCTTTGACCCTTGAAATCCAATTATGTTCTGCATTGCTCTTGGACTGTGGCTCCTCTGCATCAAGAAGCACAGCTTTCATGGCTGAAATAGTATGTTTGAGCTTGTCAAGCTCATCATCCAAAACCATTACAAATTTATTCGTATTCTTCAAAATCTCAAGTGCGAACTTTATATTTCAATACTTTTGACAATAAGAAAGATGATTATTCTAGCTTTTTCAATCTTTTACACAATTTAAGAAACGTTTACAAATTAAAGTGTTGTTCAAAAGTTTATTACAAAACGAGACTAGGGAATGAGATACAAAAATATATTGATGACAACCCCTAACGGTGTCATAAGACTGACGCTCCAGGACGACCCTTCTCTATAATCGCACAACTCCTAAACACTCTTCTACCTCGACCAACATTCATTAGTCACCTAAAATGAAAGTAGTATCTCATGAGTATAAATATAATCAGTAAACAACCTACTTGTAGACTCTAATCGTATCATTGACCTAGTAAGTTACTATAGGCTTCTTCCATCCATTTTCATTAAAAATTTCTTTGTTGCATATGTGATCTTAAATATGATAAGAGGTTAATAATCAAGTTTACTAGAAAAAATCAATTTGCAAATATAAAGTTTTATTAGTTGCAAAATTTGCTTTTAAAATAATATTTCTTCATTAGATTACGAAGTTTAAAATTTAAAAACAAGTTTTCAAAATTGTACTAGGATGAAAACACAAAAAGGATAAAATGAGGAATTACACACTTGCATTCATCTTAACTCAAATAACTCACCCCATGGTAGATGTATAAACAAACTACAAATAGTACTACATCCATATGTGATAGAATGTTGGTGTACATGAACTTTTGATAGAATATAACATTCATTATCAACAATTTGTTTGAAAAGTTCTGAAATACTTGAAAATTTGATGGACTGATACACCTATGTTTCATAGTTAATCCATGTCCTTCAAAGTCTCATAAAATGATACACCCATGTCTCATAGTCTACTTATGTGCTTTATTGATGAATGCAATCTTTTTCTCCATCGATTCTTCCAAATAGGATTATATATATATATATATATATATGAATACTCCAAACAAAAATTCAAAATGTCCATATATAAATATAATCTGTACAAAAGTCCAAACAATCTTTAATGTCTAATATATTATATGATTTCACAAAATGTTAACAAAATGATACATTTATAATCTTACTCAAATGAAATGTTGATTGATGCCTGACATCCTATTAATATACTCAAAATAGCATTCAAAATGATACGTCCATGTTTTTGCCTTAAAAGAACGCTAATTGATGTATGATATACATATGATATACTTGAAATGTTAATAAATGATATATCTACATGTTTAACGCACAAGAATTTGTACCTGAATGATTTGAGCCACACAACAATCTGATTGTTCTCATTTCCTTCTTTTTGCATGAAGATTTTGCCAAATGAAGAGTGAATTTTTTTTTTCCGATGAACAACTTTGAAGCAATATAATAATAATAATCCTCATCCAATGTAATTCTTGGTGTCTTGCCTCTTAGGTTTGAGAATATGCTGTAATAATCATGGTTGTATAAAGACACGTTAGGGAAATCAATTGAAATGATTGCACGATTAATTCTATAAGGAATTATAAAAATAATGAGAGGAAAATGACTTTACATACCTGATGATGCCTATTGCTGAGGGACGAACAAATTTTTCTTCTCTTCCATGTCTCAAAGTTATGAAAGGTTTATGTGAGGAATATGAGAAATCTTTTGCCACTCTTCTCCTTTTCCTTTCTTGTACCTCTCTATCAATTTAGGGCTATTCCAAATTGTCAATGATTCTAAAGAGCGGAGGTGGTGAATCCCTTCCGGCAATGAAGTGAGCTTTGGACAATTGAAAATGGATAGACTTGAAAGTGAAGTGAGGTTGTGTATCCATTTTGGAAGAGTTACAAAATTCGGACATGAGTTTATGCCAATGTGTTGAAGAGTTGTCACATGTTGCATCCCATTAGGTAAATACTCCAACTTCGGAATTGCTCTAAGAAATAAAACGTGGAGACTTTGAAACTCTTTCCATAGTACATCATTAGTAGAATGTTGAACAAGAGCAGAAGATAATTGTAAGTTTTTGCAATCTTCTATTACAAGAAACAAAAGATTTGTGAAATGATAGAACTCTCTTGGCAGAAACTCAATATCATCAATTTTACTTAGGTAAACATGAGATAATTTAGATGAAGGATTAGCAGTCTTCTCAATTATCACATTAAGTAGTTGTAAACTAACTGCACATATTTCCAGTAACTTCAAAGGTGCATGCCAAGGAATTGAAGCCAACTGAGGACAATCGTCGATCTTTAGTTCACAAAGGCAAGACATTGTTATAGGAAATGATGCATTATTTGGAGATCCTTCTGATGAAGTTTCACCCTTCCACCATCCTTTTAAATTATGCATGTCTATGATGCTTAATTTCTCAAGGGATGGAAAAAATATTGATGAAGAACGATAACCATCGTTGTCAATGTACTCAATGCACGGTAATGATTTAAGACCCAAACACTTGAGACAAGGAAACTGATCAAATTGTGGGAGAACCTGCAATTGGAAGCAATCTGAAAGTTTTATGCTGACCAAGTGTAGAAGGGTATTAGATGATAACCAATCACATAGCATGACTTCTGGATATCCGCATATATCTATCTTTCCAACATTTGAATGTGGTTGTAAGCAATTTAAAACCCCTTTACATTCATTGTCCAAGACAATGTTCATATGCTCATCTTTGGAATAGTTCCAAACAAACTTTAACTCTTGAAAACCCAACTTTAGTCGTAAGTTAAAATAACTATTTTTCAAATCTTCGGTTGTACAAACTTCCAAACCTTTAATAGTTAATGATCCCCTCAATTTACTCAGTCTGTTCAACTCGCTTAAATCGCAACCAACATCTTTATTTAATATAAACAAGTTCATTGTTTGAAGATTAGTAAGCTCACCTAGTCCTTTAGGTAAATGAGTCAACGCATTGCAACCACGTAAATCAAGATGCTTAAGGTTAACACATTTTTTAATATCTTTAGGCAATTCTCTTAATAGAGAACAATCTTGAAGGATAAGTGTTTCCAAATTGAGCAACGAAGCAATTGAATCTGGAAGGAATTTTATCTCTGTATTTCCAGTAAGGCTTAGATACCTTAACTTCATCCAATTTTTTGCATCTCTCGGCAACTCTTGTAAATGCTCACACCGATCAAGGATAAGTGTTTCCAAATTATACAACTTAGTTATGGAATTTGGAAGGAACTGAAGTTCATATAGACAAATATTCAGATATCTTAAATGTTTCAACTTGCCAATAGATTTGGGCAATACTTGAAAAGTACTAAAAATGCTGGAATCAAAACTCAACGTCCTTAATCGCAAAAACTTAGTAGGAATTAGGTTAAGGACTTTTTGGGCATCCTTAGTGGGAGCATCAATAATTAATGTCCTCAAATTTTTTGCCTCATATAATAATTTCAAGTTCTCCAACTTTATACCGAAGTTGTGGTAAATTGAGATGTGTCTAGTTCTTCCCGTGACGACCTTATCATTCACATCCATAGAAACATATTCTTTCTTCACTATGGAACAAGCAAGATCATTCATCAAGTCGTGAATCTTAAACTTTATTATGTCACCCATTTCATTTCTTGTGACGTCTTGAAAGAATGACCTTGATAATAATTCCATGAAATAATCTTCACCGATGTCATATGGTTTAATTACGCCAACTGATTGAACGAAACCTTGTGCCACCCACTGCTTTATCACTTCATCCTTTCGAATATTATAATCTTTGGGAAATAAAGTACAATATAAAAAACATTGCTTCAAACTAGACGGTAGATGGTGATAACTAAGCTCCAGTATTGATAGTATGAATTGTGTCTCTTCTCTTTGCTCTAAAACTCGAGAAAGCTCTTTATCCTTGAAAGTCAACCAAAGATGATGCTCTGGCTTTTTGGCATATAAAAGACGTCCTATCGTTCTTATTGCAAGAGGAAGGCCTTTTAACTTTACCACAATCTCCTTGCCAATGTCGACTAGATTTGAATTTTCAAGTTCTTTTCCTGGTTCCTCGCTTCCTAAAGCCATTTTTTTGAACAATAGCCAAGCACTTTTATCATCCAATTCTCCTAAATCATAACATGAAGTCGTGTCAAAAGTCTCTGCAACTCGTCGATGACGCGTTGTGATCAAAATTCTACTGCCTGACGTACCACCCATCAATAATCTTTTGAGATTAACCCATTTCTCGTAATCTTCATTCCACACATCATCCATGATGAGCAAGTACTTTTTCCCATTAATATGAGTTCGAAGATCACTTTGCAACGAATCCATTTGAAGGATCTCTGGTTTCTTTCTTGTTGCAGACTCTATAATCTTTTCAACAATAACCTTTATATCAAAGTCTTCAGAAACACACACCCATAATTTCAAATCAAAATGTTTCGTTATGTTTTCATTATTGTAGACAGATTGAGCAAGTGCTGTTTTTCCTAATCCTCCCATTCCCACTATAGCAATCACCCCAATGTTCTCCTTGGTATCAAGATCGGTATTCAGAAGAAGATCTATAATTGCTTTCTTGTCAGGATTTCTTCCCACCACTTCATCATCACATATAAAAGAGATAGTCTCTCGACTCTTCCTCAACTCATCATCTCGAGTATTTATCACACGCTCAGAGAAATAGAATTGATTCTTATCAGCATCAATAGCTTTCAGTTTCTCTCTAACGTCTCTAATTTTGTGACTTATTTTAAATCGAAATGCAATTTGATGAGGCAAAGAGAAAACTTGACGTACCTCTTTCACCCCTCTTTTACCTTTGGCCATAACTTGGTGCCTCAAGGTTTCATAAGTGAACTCATCAATCAAGTCATCGACTTCATAGAAAGCATCTTTGACCCTTGAAATCCAATTCTTCACTGCATGACTGTTGGATTGTTGCTCCTCTGCATCAAGAAGCACAGCTTCCATGGTTAAAATAGTATGCTTGAGTTTATCAAGCTCATCATGAACACCCCAAAACAATTGAAACTCTGTGATAGCAGGAGAGCCCAATTTGGTAGCAAGGGATGCCGCAACATGGAATAGAATCGATTCCGCCATTGCAACTACTAACAAAACATCCACGCATTATAAATATATATAAATATAATTTGTGGGCAGCTAAGAACCGTCTTTATTTTAATTTTTTATACCCTTATTTAAATGTCAAGTGGGATAAAATATATTGTAAAATGAAATTAAATATTCAACCATTGGTGGGATCGAAGGAAGTTGTCAACTTGATCGAGGATCCTACGTGTATGTCCTTTTTAGAATAGTTCAGGTCCAAGCCCATGGCTAACAGATATTATCTTCCCTGGATATTCTCTTTCGGACATCCCCTCAAAACTTTTAAAACGTGTCTAGTAGGGAAGTTCTTCACATCTTGTAAAAGGTGTTTTGTTCTCTTCCCCAACTAATATGGGACACATCTCAGTCCCATCCTACCGAAGTTTGATTTGTATTTATAATTATAATCATCATTTTTATGAGATGAATTTCTTTTTTTTTTAGAAAAAGATATTTGAATTATTGTTTATTAAACTCTAAAAATAAAAAGAAAATCAAGTTTTTTATAATAATTTTTTCATTTTTTAAATTTTGACTTATATTTTTTAAGATATATATATATATATATATATATATAAACAAAAAAATAAGTGGAAATAGTATTTAAAAAAAAAACTAAATGGCTAATTTTCTTATTAAATTGTTTCATTTCCTAATTTTCCTTTTCCTTTTAATAAATTTCTTCAATTTTCAATAAATAAAGGAAAAAAGAAAAAACAGATATTTTGTTCATTAAAATTTAAATAAATAAATATAACTAAAAAGTTTCATTGGCTGAAACCGACAAATTTGAATGCACTGGAACACAGTCAGTCCACGCTGTCCCCATTCAATAATGATAATAATATAACAACAAAATAAAGAAAATTTCAAGGGATAATAATATTTATAAATTTAATTTTTAAAAATTAAATAGTTATTAGCACAAAATATAACCCCTTTTAATGGATCAGACCATATGATATGAGAGTGGGTTGTCTATACATGATTAGAGAGGAGACTATGAGGTCATTACTCCATTATTTCTACCCTTATTTTATAATTTCAACCACATTTTTCTTTAAACTGCTACCGAATTCTTTTCATTTCCTCTTCCAAATTTCGTGTCTGATGCAATTTAAAATTTGATAGTGTGCTATATCTATATTTAATAATGTGTTGATAAAATAATACACTCATATTTGATAACTTGCTAATGTACACAAAACTTGAAATGAAGATATACATTTGTTTGATAGGTCTGTTGATGTACTTGAAAATTTGACAAAATGATACACCCATTTTTTATAGTTCGTTGTCGTGCTTGAAAGTCTCCTAAAATGATACACCCTTGTTTGATATTCTACTTATGTACTTCATCGATGGATGCGATCTTTTTGTCCACCGATTCATCCATGTATACGAAGGATTATATTTCTAAATACTCCAAACAAAAATTCAAAACACCCATTTATGAATACAATCTCTAATCCATAACAAAAGTCCAAACCATCTTTGATGTCAAATATTAATAAAATGATACATATACGATTTTACTTCAATGAAATGTGGATTGATGTCTTGATATATGACGGATGTACTTAAGGAATGCTAATTAATATTTGATATACATATGATATACTTCAAATATTAATAAAATTATACAACTGTGTGTTTAACTCAAATAGACTACCAAAGTAATAATAAAATAATACACCTTTTCATATGCCTAAAATGGATGTTGATTAATGTTTAATATATTCAATATATTACTAAAATGAGTCATGTTCTTACCTTATTTGATGTAAAGAATTAAAATTACAAATCAATAGGCACAAATAGTAATAACAATAATAATAGAACTTTGGAGCAATATAATAATAATTCTCTTCCTAATATAATTCTTGGGGTCTTGTATCTTAGATTTGAGAATGTACCGTAGAATAGAAAAAAAAATATGATTGCATAGGAAAAAGAGTGGATTTGTAGGATCCCAAATGAATTAGCTTATTCAAAAAAACTCTTGTCCGTTAGAAGATCTCTCTCATGTCTGGTACTACATAGTTCTACTCTGCAAGAACTCCGAATTATTCTCTTCATCAGAAATGATCTGCTTGTCCCGAAATGACCTAGTTCAATAGGGAAATCCCAATTTATTGGGTCTTTCGATACAATCAAATAAAAAGTCCCAAGGACGCCATATTCTAGGAGCCCAAACCATTGATTTTGCATAATTAATTTTAAGAAAATACAAATATAATGAGAAAAATGACTTTCCATAAGTGGCGATGGCCATAGTTGATGGATGAATAAGTTTTTCTTCTCTTCAATATCAAAGTTATGAAATGTATATCAAACGAATATGAGAGATTTTTGGCCAATCTTTTCCTATTCCTTTCTTGTACCACTCTCTCAATTTGGAGCAATTCCTAATTTCCAATGATCTTAAAGAGCGGGGGTGGTGAATCTTTTCTAACAATAAAGTGAGCTTTGGGCATCCGAAAACACTTAAGTATGAGAGTATGAGAGTGAAGTGAGCTCACTTATCCATTACGGAAGAGTTATTAAATTTGGACAATTTCTATGTGAATTACTCGAAGAGTTGTCACATGTTGCATTCCATTAAGCAAATACTCCAACTTCGGATTGCATTAAGAACTAAAATGCGGAGACTTCAAAACTCTTTCCATAGTACATCATTACTAGGATGTTGTTTCATAGCCAAAGACATTTGTAAGTTTTTGCAATCTTCTATTATAAGACACTGAACATTTGACAGGAACTCAAGATCTTCAATCTCACCAAGGTAAACATAAGATAATTTAGACCGAGTAGAAGAAGACTATTCATGTAACGACCCTAAATTTCCACATACTCAGAGTCGCTACTAACGTCTCATGCTCACTATAATGCGGAAATATAACTCTTACATGAACATAATTGATAACGAAAATTTCAGAAAAAAAAAACGTTTAAAACAACTTCTTCTCTGAAAAACACAGCCATGGTCTTACGTGTTTAAATATGAAATACTGAAATTTAGAGAAAACAAAAACAAATACAAAATAATTTAAAACAATGGAATGCAAAACAACCTATTCTAACTTAAGACTAGAAATTTAAATATGAGTCTACCCTATGCACGTGCCACAGTCTCTACTCGCGATGCCGCCGTCCTCCGTACAAGTGCACCTTGCCTTTACCT